GAATGGCAGGAAGGGAGACCAGAGAAAAGACGTTTTTAAGGGGGTTTGGGAGAAAACACTCATTATGATAATAAAACGCGTTTACTTTCGTAGTCTGCTCTTTCTGCCTATGTTACATGATCTAAGCTAAAGCCACAGGAAAGCCTTTTATCTGTCCTTCTGCCTTGCGGGGCCTGTCAGCCGCGGGAAGCTCGCGTGGCTGTGGCGAGACCCGTCAGAGGCTTCTGGCTCTGGTCGGAGCCAAGTCCCCCGCCAGGCTGCGCAATGACTGGTGCCGTCAGCTCTTCCTAACAGTGTGGGACGGTCCTAATCTCCTGCCTGGCCAGAACATGTCAGGGTTCAAAGCAATTTTGCAGGTGGCCTCGCTGTCCCTTTTGATGAAGCTCACACCTGTAAGTGTGAACCTCGGAAGCGTGCACAGGCACAGAGGCATCTGCCGAGAGGCAGGCGCCAGCCGACGGCCGTCACTTGCTGCCCCGGGGGACGCTCACGACCACCTTCCCTGTTCTTTCTCTTCCAGCCAGAGCTACCTGCAAGCTGCAAGTGACGGGCCTGCCGGCCACAGCCTGGACCCCTCTGCCCACTACAACTCCCCGAAGTTCCGGTCCCGAAACCAGAGCTACATGAGAGCCGTGAGCACGCTGAGCCAGGCCAGCTGCGTGAGCCAGGTTGGGCTGCCTGTCCCTCTGCCCCGGGCCCAGCCCCCAGCCCACGCTGTCCCACCACATCCCTGCCAGGCACGGGGCCCGCACGTCTCGGGGAGTTGCCTGGTCGTGAGCCCGGAGCTGAGTGAGCGGAGGTGGTTCCAACATGTCTGCCACGTGTGACCGGCTGGCCTCTCGGCCTCCTCGCTGGTTCAGCTCAGACCGCCCACTCTTCCCAGGGGGATTCCCCAATAAAACAGGGCCAGGGGCCATCTCTGGGGACCAGGCACTGACGACGGTGGCTCTGAGTTACGTTCCCAAGCTGAGCCTCGCGCGTCCAGTAGGAAGAGTTGGGAATGCTGGGGGCTATGTTGCCCGAGGACCGAGTCCGTCAGGCTGGGTGGTGGTGTAGCCCCCAGGGGTTGGGGTCCCCACGTGAACAGGAAGGGAGGCTTTGGCCACCCACAGCGAGGCTGGCGAGCAGGCCCAGCATGGGGAGCGGCCGCAGCGGACAGCAGGGGGCCCCGGTCACGTGTGCTGCAGGACAAGAAGCTCGGCTTACACGTCTGATTAAACGCGCGTCTTTGGAGGTGCTGTGTGTGTGGCTCCCACTGGACCCGCTCTGCTGGGCCGTGGCCGGGGAGATGCCCAAGCCACCTGACCAGGCTCCTCGTCCAGGGCGGGGTGCGTGACGCGTGAGAACCCACAACCCCAGAACCGTCTGCTGGCGACTCGGGCCACACGGTCCCTGGTCACAGCCCGAGTTCCTCAGGCCTCTTCTTCCTAGGTGACCGTCTCCAGGGCAGGGCTCGCCTGTCCGTCAGCCCCTTGGACAGCACCAAGTGTCACTGCCACCCCTGAGTGACACGTGACATGGCCTCCGGCCACGGGAGTGCCGGTTCCCGGGGGCGTGGAGCCGTCCCACGGGCCCACACGGCTGGACCTCCTGCTCCGCGCCCTGCCCTGGGCTCCGCCCCACCCAGCACACGACAGGTCACGGCCAATGGCTCACAGAGGCCCGCAAGGCTCACTCTCGGTCACTGTCGCCAAGCCCTGTCCCGGACTGGGCTGGCGCTGGGGTGCAGCGCAGGAGGACACGTCAGCGAGAGTGGAACCGAGTCTCAAAGCAGGACGTGTGTGACACCAGGTTGGGTCATCGTGAGGACCACACCCGCGGTGACCCATGGAGGTGGCCCCGCCGCCTGTCCCCTCTGCACCAAGCGGCTTCTGTTCCCTCGCTGCGTCCCCACGCCCCACGCGGAGGGCCTGCGTCCCGGGCTGAGGGGCTCAGGGCGCACGATCGCCAGCTGCCGGAACGTGCCATTGCTCCTGGGACAGACTCCTCAGCTCAGCCCGCTCCGGACGAGCCAGCGAGGACACGTCCTGCCTTTTTCAGGTGTGAGGTGGCCGTTGGGTCCAAAATCCAGCCCCGTCCCCAGGCTTCCACTGGCTTCGTCTGCACGAGCACCTGGTGGCCCTGGAGGGCACGTCCCCAAGGCGCCGACGTGCTCCTTTTCCCCTGGAATTAGAACACGTTTCTCGTCACCACTCAGACCCTAGCGATCGTTCCCTTCGCTGGGCGTGCCAGCTTCCCCGTGACTCTGACCCGACGTCTCTCTGCCCCCAGCGGGGTCCCTGGAAGTGCCAGCTTCCCCGTGACTCTGACCCGACGTCTCTGCCGTAACCGGAGTTTGCAGGCCCCCAGCGGGGTCCCTGGAGCGGCTGCCTGAGGGGGAGCCTGAGGGCACCTGCGGGGGTGAGGCTCACACCCTGGTCCTTGCTGTCACTGTCCTCGGGGCGGCACCTGTCACCCTCCCGAGGCTCAGCCTGGCCACGTCCTCCGGAGTTCTCAGTGGCCGTGACAGTCTCTCCTTCGGCTTGGCTTCTGTCCACCCACGGTCCGGTGGTTGTGCCCGCCTGGCTGTGGCCGTGCGCAGGAGGACGCAGTGCTGGGAACGGCCTGCAGGGGCCGCTGCATCTTCGCTGCAGAGAAGCCGTCCTTCCGCCCTGTCCCCCGCTGTCCGGTCTGGGCCCTCTGGGCGTGTGGGCGTGACCACAGCCTCCCTCTGCCAGGTGTCCTTTCCTTCAGGTGTGGAGCACACACCGTGAGTGGTGCCGTCTGACCCTTCAGCGCACAGCTCGGGCATCTGCGGTCGCTCGGCTGGGCCACCGTCCCCACCACCGTCCCAGATGGTTTTCACCGTCCACACTGACACTGTTGCCACTGAACACGGACCCCCAGCCCTGCGCCCGCCGCCCCCTTTCCTGTCAGTGGGCTCGCCGCGTCTGGCCTTCCGTGGCTGGCTCCCTCCGCTCGGCACCAGGGCCTCACGGTCCATGCACGTCGAAGCCGGCACAGACGTCCTCCGTCTTCAGGGCTGACCGGCACCCCGTCGTCCAGACGCCCCAGCCCTGCTTGCCTGTGCCTCTGTGGACGGCACTCCTGTCGTCCCCACCACTGGCCACGGTGCCCGCTCACGAGTCCCACTTCTGGCTCTTGTGGACGTAGCCAGATGCGGCCTCGCTGGAGCGTGTGCGACTCTTTCTAAGCTTCGAGGAGCTGCCGTCGCGTTTTCCACGGAGGCTGCTGCATGTCGCGCCCTCCACCAGCTGCGTCCACGGGCTCCGGCGTCACCTGCTGTGCTTGCTCTGCAGACGTCACCTGTCATGACCGCTGAGGACTCTCTGCCACAGACGAGACAGTCCCCTGCCCACCCTGTCTCACTTTCCGTTTTCCTGAGCTTCTCTGCTTCGGTTCCGTGGTGCCCCATCCCCTAGTCCAGGAGTCCCCAGTATTCCAGTACCGGTCCGTGGCCTGTTAGGAACCGGGCCGCACAGCAGGAGGGGAGTGGCACATGAGCGAAGCTGCATCTGTGTCTGCGGCCGCTCCCCAGCGCCGGTATCGCCGCCTCAGCCCCGCCTCAGGTCATCAGGCGTTAGAGTCTCGTAGGAGCACCAGTCCCTGGTGCCACAAAGGCTGGGGACCGCTGGTCTAGGGGGCTGCGTTTCTGAGCTCATGGTTCACAAAAGCAGAGTAGGATGCATCAAACTGCACTGAGCTTTGCTCCAGCCCAGCGCCCTCCTGGGCACGTCCAGTGCAGAGCCACAGTTTGAGTTCCTGTCGCATGGTGGCCACTTTTCCAGATCTCCCTCCAGCTCAGTGACCAAATCAGCCCTCGGAGAACAGGTCACTTCGGTGCCTTTCTAGGCCGAGTGGGCACCCTGCTCCCCTGCGTTTGCTTTGCTTGGGGAAGAGTCACGTTCATTTTGAGAACTGGAACCTCTCTGACGAGGTTCCGTGGCCAGCAGCCCGAGCCGAGTGGTCGTGGCTGACGTTTGAGCGCTGCTCGCAGTGGCCCGTGAGGCCCCTGCTCCCCCTCGTGCGGTGGAGGGTGACCGTGGCCTGGTGGCGTCACAGACGGCTTCCACCACGTCCTGCACCCGGGTGCTGGCCAGTGCGAGTGACCACACTCAGGTTTCGGCCTTTTCAGTTGTCTGATGTGGAATATTGGCATTAATGACGTGAAACAATCAGGGAGTTTTGATATAATTCCACGTAAGGGAAACTTAGGTTGAAAGAAATCTGTAGTCTGGAAAATGTCGCGTTTCTGGTGAGTTTCCCTCACGAGGGGCCTGAGGTAGCCGTGACGTTGGGCTGTCACGGTGCGTCTGCTCTGAGTTGGTCGGCTCTGTCCTGCGCTGGACACCTCGGAGCATCTGGTCTTCTCTGCCCTCCTCCTCATGCTGCGACCTTGGGGGACAGCCCTGCCTCCCGGTACCCCTCGGCGCCCTCCTCCGACACCTCGAGGGCCGCGGCTGGGCTGTGGTCCCAGGGTTGTCCAGTGCAGGGAGCTGCTTCTGCAGTGTGCGGGTGACCTAGGGACAGCGCCGAGCTCCGTGGGCAGGTCCACAGCTCGAGGTGGGCAGGAGCCTCGTGCTTTGTCTCCCCACCAAAGAATCAGATTTGTTGACCCGATTCTGCTCCAGTCAGAGCGAGACCCTTATTTATCTGTAACGTGACCAGGGCATTCAGGAAATCGGGTGACACGGTGGATGTGTGAGGCCGTGACAGACATGGGCGTCCGCAGCGGTTTGCAGTGGACAATCACCCTGGGTTCTGGACCCGGCCCCCAGGGCAGGCAGGATGGGACAAGGAGATAGTCCCGAGGGAGGGGAGGCCGTCACGGGGACTCCGTGGGCCTCATACCCTGTCACCTCTCCACGAGCCCCAGCCCGTGCCCGTCAGTCTCCCCCGCAGCCCCCAGGGGCTCACGCGCTGCCACACGTGAGGTGGACACCAGAATCAACACCAGGCACAGCGGCGATCGAAGTCCCACCACCCAGACTGGGCACATGACCCCTGTGTCTCTGACCTCTGCCCCGGCCCCTGGGCCTCTGGCACAGCCACATCTGCGCAGTGTCCACTGTCCATTCTCGCAGCTCGCGCCCTTTCTGCCGCCCCGTTCTCTTCGATCTCATCCCAGGGCTGTGTTTCACTTTATTGAGATTCCACCTGACACCTGCACCTTCAGCTCATGTTACCACCTGTGAACCTCAGGAAACGCGTGTCCCCTGCCCAGGCCATCGACCCCCCAGAGGCCTTTCAGCCCATCAGGGTCACGCTCCTCTGTGCACTCCTGAGCATCCCTGAGACCCCCACCCCCCACTGTCCAGAGCCGTGATCCTTTGTCAGTGTTTTGTAAGGAATGACCCAGTGAGCTGCTTCCCGAGCTGACCTCACACCGGCTGTGCTGGGAACAGGCGTGGGGGTGGCCGGCGGGCGGGCGGGTGCTTCCTCTCGGAAGGTGGCCGTGGGGCCCGGCCGGACCTCACCGTCACTGTGCCGTTGCTCGTTCCAGATGAGTGAAGCGGAGCTGAACGGGCAGCTGGAGTCGGTGTGCGAGTCCGTGTTCAGTGAGATGGAGGTGCAGGCCATGGACGCCCTGGGCCTCCCCGGCTGCTTCCGGACGCGGAGCCACAGCTACCTGCGCGCCATCCAGGCCGGCTACTCGCAAGACGACGAGTGCGTGATCACGATGCCGCCGTCCACCGCCACCCCCACCGCCAGGCCCGCGGCAGGTAAAGCCCCTCCCCCGGGAGCCGTGCTCGGCCGCAGACGCAGCTTCCATGGCCGCTTCCTTGAGCGTGGTGCAGCGTGGCTTCTGTGGCAGTGTGCGCCACGGCGTCAGGAAGAGCAGGCGTCACGGTCAGGGTCGGTGCGTGGCGTGGAGCCGGCGCCTAGGCTCCTCCCCGGTGTCCACCGAACGCCGTGGCAGGAGCATAAAGCGGCCGTGGCCGCAACTTTGCTGGTCACCCCCAGGCCCTGCGGGTGCGGAGTCACTGTTCCCTCCAGCTCCGTGGAAAACCACACCCAGCCCCAACCCGCCTGGCGTCTCGCGTGACACAGGGGACACAGGGGACACGCGCGGCCTGGAGGCCCTCACGGACAGGCGTGTGGGAGGGCGCCCAGCCACCCGCGAGGCTGAGCGGAGACGCGGGCACGGCGCCGAACAGCGGGGGGCCTGGGCGGCACGGGATGCGGGACACTGCAGCGCACGGGGGGCTCGGGGGCCGTTCTGGGAGAATGAGGGTGTCGTTCCCCGTAACCAGCTGGGAATGCCGCGGGCAGAGGGACAGATGGCGTCCGCACCACGAGCAGAGCCTCTGCTTGCGAGCTGGCGCTTAGCAGGGACGTGGGGCGGTGGTGCAGTGCCAGGCGCTCTCGTGGGCCTGCGGCCGTGAGGGCGGTGCACTCAGCTTGTCCGTCACGCGCCCCTCCCGGGGCCTGGCGTGCTGGCTCCTGAGCTGAGCCGAGAAGGAGCGGTGCGGGCTGCTTGTCGGGCAGGCCTAGCCGTTGGCCGTCACAGAGCTGCAGGTCCTCGGTGGCACCAGGGCAGGATCTGAGACAGGCACAGCCACGCCTTGGGGCCTTCAGGAGAAGTGTGGTGGGTCGTGGGGCGCCGGGCTGTGTGGGGGGGAGGAGGCGGGCAGCGCCCAGGGCCTCGTCCGGATATCTGCAGGGCCGCGGACCGCACCCAGGGTGCAGGCGTCTGGGGCTGGCCCGGCTCCCCCGTAGGGCCCTGTCCCGCGGCGCCTCCCGTTATGGTTACGGTGTGGGCCGCTCCGCGCTTTGTGCCAATGGTGGGGAAACGAGCCGCTTCGAGGCCGCAGGAAGGAGCGCGCGCCACAGCCATCGCGTTTGGACAAGCACACGCTTCTGGAGGCGCCGCTGCCTGTGCACCGATTCCGCCGAGTGTCTCTCGTGCACAGGTGATGAGCAAACACTCGTCTCCAGAGACGCTTCGAAATGATGGTCGCCAGGTAGGAAACGACTTCTGCTTCAGAGCTGTCGTCGTGCAGACAGTGAAACAAGACACGTTCACGGAGCTGACGCAAGAACCAGTCGGAGCCGAGACCCGTCCCAGTCCATGCACGCACCTGCGCCCCCGCGCCCCGCACCAGGTCAGCGCGGACGGCGCATCTCCTCAAGGCTCCTCCTGGGCCCGGCCCTGGCTATCGGTCAGAGCCCCCTCCGGCCTGGCCGGGGTGGCCCCAGGTGGGCCGGCCTGAGAAGCAGCAGGAAGCCCCGGGCGTGGCCGCCCCATTACAAGCTGCCCTTGTGCAGAAGTGTGAGCGCAGACGAGTCACCGATCCCTCCCCACGTGACTCCAGGCTTTGTCTGTTAAATGTTAATGATACTTTCTCGATGGCACGCAGCAGCACTCTGTTTAACGAGAGTGGGGAAGATGCCCGAGAAACGAGAACCCTCTCTGCGAGACAGAGCAGGAGCTCGGAGAGAGCGACCGAGTCTGCGGGGTGCAGACGCCCCGGGGTGCCTCGGCGCCTGCTGGCCCCGGAGCAGAACGGGCTCCCGGTCACTTTCAGCTCTCACATTCCACAGAGGAGCACGTGCATGTGCGTGTGTGTGCGTGTGTGTGCGCGTGCGCGTCGAGAGGTCTGCATGCTTGAAAAACAAACTAGTCGCTAGGTTGTGTCACCTCGTGTGAAGTGCAGGTACAGGACTTTAACGTTCGTCTGCAGTGACTGCGGTTTTAACGTGCGCGTGGCGGGCTTGTTGAGCGTTTAGACACGTGTGTCGGGCGCTGACAGGCTCCTGCTGGGCGGACGCTCGGCTCCGTGGGGTCTGAGTCCCCAGGCTCCGCTCAGCCCGGACGCGTAGCACACACGGCCACAGCCCCCTCTGCAGGAGCCTGAGGGCCCGAACGCGCCGGAGACGTGCGTGCAGCCCGCCACCCCCTCCTCCGGAAAGTGTCGCGTGCTGGCCAGTGTCCTCTACTTCAGCGAAGCGGCTCTGAAAGCACCCAACTCCCATTTCACGCATGGCTGCTTTCTCATCCGTGAAGTGACTCGTCAGAAATAGCTTTGCCTGTCTAAATACGCATTTCGCCCGATTTTTCTAGGGAGAGAGAGTTACTAATATCACGAAGAGAAATGCTGTAAAATCAGATTCTAATGATTTTTCTCTGGGTCAGAGGTTTTCTCAGCATGTGTCACAGCTGATTCTAGAAGTCGTTAAAACGAAGGAAAGATCCCTCCAGATCACGACAGAGGGAATGACTATAAACGTACTTCATTGTCTGCGTTTCTAGAGTAACTCGTCCCTCCCGGGGACGTGATGATTCCGTTTTCAGGACAGGCTCCGGCTTCTGCAGCTTGCGAGCCTCGCCGCTGACGGGGGACACTGACCCGGCCCCACCGTCACGTCTCCCCCGCCTCCCACCTGCGAGGCCTGGCGATTGCACGTGGCCCACACACGATTCAGGCTGGTTTTCCCATCCCAAGGTCCTGAGCTGCCATCACGTTTGCAGAGTGTCTTCTACCACGTGAGGTGACATGGTCACAGGTGCCAGGGATTGGGATGTGGGCATGGGGGGTGCATTATTGTGTCACCGTGATAGATTTCAGCAGGCAGCGGGTGGGTGCACGCGTGAGGGGCTCCCCTAACCCTGGGCCAGGCCAGCACTGCTCCAGCCCCAGCCAGACGGGAGCCGGGGCCCCCTCTCCCAGGCACGCTGAGCTCGTCCTTGTCACACGTTCCGGTTCATGCCGATGGCAGGAAACGCAGCCCAGTGGCAGCTGCCAGGCAGGGGCCCCGTGAGAAGCACTCGTGCGGCCGGGTGGGGCAGGTGCTGAGGTGCAGGGCTACCCCTGGGTTCTTGGGGTCAGGCTGACCGCCAGGGCCACGTCCCTGCCACGAGGGGCAGCACAAATCTGTGCTGCGGTTCGAGCAGCCGGAAACGGTGATGTGGTGCATCAGTTCAGACGTGTTAGCAGATGTCCAAGCGGTTCAAGGTCGTCCCCGTGGTTGTCACGGTCACTTCCGGGATTGCGCGTGATTTGGGATGGGGGTGCGTTTTGGAGAAGAAGGCTGACGGAAGCACGTGCTTTTCGACTCCGCCCAAGGTCCAGGTCCACAGGGGGGCGGGGGGCGGTGGGCTTTCTGCGAACCTGCGTCCGGTCCCCTCCCGCCATCTGCTGTCCGCTCGGCCAGGCTCGGGGTGGAGCCCGGGACGCAGCACGGGGCTGGGACTCGCCAAGGGGTCCGTGACACCTTTCGCCAGTGGCCCTCAGGCCCACGGGGCTGAGTGTGACCGTGGCGCCGGTGGCAGCGAATGGTCACAAGGGAGGTCAGATCCTCAGCGTCCGATTCTGACCAGGGGATCCGGCTCCTGGGGGCCAATCAGGCCCCAGCTCCACCCTGGGAGACCTCAGAAGCCCCTGCAGGACGTGACAGGTGCCCCGAGGCTGCTGCTCCAACAGAGGCTGCAGCAGCGTCCCCTCTTGAAAACGGGCCGCGGTGGCCTTGGCACTGGCACCGCTGCCGGGGTGCCTGGTACCCCGCAGCTTCCACACGCAACTCTGTGGCCAGAGCTGCCCACTCCCAGGCCTGCCAAGGGACAGGCGGCCTCCCTCCGGGGACAGGTGTGACAGCCGCCTGCAGCCCCTGGCTCCTAGCGGTGCTGCCGGCATAGCCTCCCCGTGTCCAGGCGGAGCCAGCGCCACCCGCGCAGCTCACTTCCGCGGCCACGGCAGCCATGCTTGGCTGCTGCAGACCAGCGGGGCTTTCGATCCCAGCGGGCTCCGAACAAGCCTCTGGCGGGGGGCTCGGGCTTTCGGCACCCCTGACCCCGGCATCTAACCCTCGCTCCCCAAGGTCACGCCTGGCCTGTGATGTGGAGGTTGGGGATTGCATCTCCCTCCCGTGCGGTCACCCTGGGCTCGCACACCTGTCATCCACAGAGCAGGTCTGGGGCCTTCCAGGTTTCCTGTCGAACCTTCCGGGCGAAGCAGACCACGTTCAGGCCGTGGTCTCTGAGCCACAGTGAATGAGAACAAGTCAGAGTTGCCTATTGTTTGTGCCTGTGCAAGTCGCCTTTGCTTTATCACGTCGCTAATTTTTCCGTGGAAAGTCATTTTTCCTTGAATACAGCAGGAGCTCTCTGTGCGTCACTCTGCGTAGGGCAGCAGCCACGCACTCACTGTTCACGTGCAGACGTGAAAACCGGTGATTTCATCGAGCAAAACACCACCTAAGAATTTCCCCCCTCCCAAATTTTGATCGTAAAAATATAGTTCTGGTGCAGCTTTGACGTAGACTTTCTTCACGATTAAGCGTCTCAAATGAAGCGAAGTACACACACGTCAGTTTTGAAGATGAGTGACGAGTGCATCTGCTATGCAGCTCGCAGCATCTCTGAGAACAGATTAATCAGAGTCATCCGGTGTCACTGTTATCAGCCTATCAAAGTTTCCACCGAAAAAAATCGTTCTTTTCAGAAATGTTTTTCATCTGAGTTTAAAGTTTCCTGATCTCAAAGACTGGGGACATAATTCTGTCCTCAACAGTTAAATTTTTTTTGGGGGGGGGGCGGGGGAGGACCACGCTTTCTTGGTTCCTGTTCTGCAGTCACTGTGACCGCCAGCCAGCCTGTGCCGTCGCTGCTGACGAAGCCCTTCGCGGTTACTGTGTCCACGGCCCTCTGGGCATCTGGTACTTGGGACTACGAGGCTCTCCACATAGTTAAAAGTTGGTCACTCTCGGTTCTTCAGAAAATCCA